TATATAAGGACATAAGATACAACTTACCCTGACCAGGGTTGTCACTGTGCCCTCCCAATCCCCAAGTCACCAATGACCATGACTTGGCACAATGGCCACATATGATGGAGCCACCTTTTCAAACCACCAGGGAAAGTGCATTAGGTGCGCAGGGCCCCCACCCCCACATCACCAACCTCTGGTCTCTGCCCTGCGCTCTCTGCTACCACTGACCCCAGCTACAGCTTTACGTAGCACATCTGCGCCCTGGCCATGTGGCCCCCAACATGTACCCTGATTCCACCTTTGGCATTCACACCAGAAAGGACGTCTCAAGGCTCTGTCTCATATCTAAGGAAATGCTCTAATACTCTGAAGCCGCCCAGGAAGGGTGAGTCACGTGTGGGCCCCCCAAGCTTCCCAGGCCACAGCAATTCTGACCCGTACAGGATGGCTCTGTTCCCCAAAGGCAACCTTGGGGCTAGGCCTGGCTCAAATTAATGTCTTCTTTGGAGCGTCTGGCTAAGGCTTCCAGTATTCTTTATGTGTGTTGGGGGGGGGGGAGCTCTAAAACATGGTGTAGCGGGGAGCTGGGGCTTCATTCCTTCCCTCCCATAACAGACATTCCTGAGGCTGCAGGGGGCCTGCTGACACCCAGCTGGTGGATTTAATGCTTCCTAATGAATCCCCCAAACCGCTTTGTGGCATTCCAGCCACTCTGGTGACATTATAGAAATCAGCCCCCTCCCCAACCCCCTCACTGAAGTTTTCCACTGGTTGCACTGATGGGGATGGGAACGTGCAAAAACCGCCAGGACTGCACCTAGCCACGGCACCTAGCCACCGTATCTACTCACACCCGTCCTGAGAGGTCCCACATCAACTGCCATGCAGCCTGGGAAACACAGTCACAGTTTCCTGCAACATGGACAAGCTTGCTGCTCCCTTTCTAACAGCAGCAAGGAAAAATGGCTTTGTGCGTATTTTTTCACTAACTGCAGCACAATTTCAAGCTACAAATCAGCAGAAATGTACTGAGGAGGTACGAATCCTGTTGCCATCCTTCAGTGGAGATCTCACCCGGCTTCACACTCACACCTCAAATTCCAAGAATGCTACTCCCCTGAAGTTAGTGTCTCTTTAACTTCAAACTGGACCCAGGGAAAAGGTAGTCCTGACCCAACAGCCACTCTGAACACCCATAAAACACAGTACTGGGAGTTCCTACTTCAATTTCCTCTCTCCAGCTACAAAAATGCAGATGAAGCAAGTATTTGTTTGAGTTTTACTATGTAAATAAAGCCTATTCTCAGGGCCAATGCTCTGGAAGAAAACAGGCCTCCAAGCAAACACTGGCAACGCCAGGGGCCTCACACACACACCATCCTAAAGGCCAGTGTCTTCAAAAAGAATTAAACATGACCTCTAAAAGCAAAAATCTTTAAGAGCAAAGGTGATACACAGTTAATCTAACAAAACTGACACCCAACCAGAGTGATTTTGCCCACAGGGAACATGTGGCAATGTCTGGAGACGTTTTCTGGTCGTCACACCTGGACAGAGGTGCCAGTGGCACCAAGCAGGCAGAGGCCAGGGAAGCAGTGAACATCCCACAAAGCACTGCACAGCCCCCACGACAAAGAATGGTTCAGCCCAGAATGTCAACAGTGCCAAGGCTGACAAACCCTGACCCAACAGGTGTGCCAAAGTTATTCAGCGTGGCACGTAAGAGATCACAGACCTGAGCAGATGGCAACAACGGGGAGTGGGAATGGACATTTGGGACCAGGATCTGATTCTCAGCACCCCTTCTAAGACCAGACAGGCTTGTGACCTCAGGGCACACCATTTAACCTCCCTGGGCCATAGCTGGTTCATCTATAAAATGAGCTAATAACCTCTCTATCTGAAGATCGGGACTGAACCAGACTTGTCCTTGACACCCTTCGCAGCTGTGAGAGGTGCACTCCTGTGAGTGAGGCTTTCTAATGATACTCTGTGTCACAAACAGACTCTGTCCTTGTCCTCTTCCACTGGCTCAAACTACTCCCAAATTGGAATCTGCTAAACAGAAAGTGAGTTGTAATATGTAACTATTAGAAGGCTTTTTAAGTGTAAAAAACAACTATTAGAAGAATTACTATGTAATGAGCCCCAGTGACTTTTCAGTAGCTACTGGAAGAGAAAGATTCAAAGCTTGGATTGATCCAAATTCTGGTGGTAGGACCATTTTCCCTAGTCTATTTCCACTCTGTAAGTGGTCATAGTGGACACGTTTTCCTTCATCTTTTTCTAATAATGTGACAATTACCAGCTGTCAGACTGTAGGTTAGCACCGTCAATGATCTTAATCCAGGAGAAAAGACAGGTATGTGAAATATTGCTCATGCCATGCAGTAAGACATGGTTAAGGCCATGTGTGCACATACACATATGTATGCTTGGAAATTTAGTACAAAAGTCCAAAGTTGTCCTGAATCCCCTCCATCCTAAGCAGCAAAACCACAATTTTCCAGTCATATTGGAGCATATATAAAAATTAAGCACCAATTTAAGGGAGGGATTTTAAAAGCATCTTTATTTCTGCAAAATCCTGAGGCACGATCTGGAAAGGCTACTACATACACTGCTCCTAGCGTAGCCACAAAAACTTTCCCAAAACACCTTAGCAACTGCCCTGAGCGCAAACCAAAGGGCGGAATCCAAATCAGGAGCAAAGGGCCCCAGCTGCTCTGAAAGGCCCTGGCTGTGTCTGCCGGGGGTTACAACCTACCCCCTTCCATTTCTAGAATTCCAGCCTTTCAGACAGGGGGAACTAGGAGGCCACTAAGAATACACCAGAGTTTTTAGGACTTGGGGTACCTGGAGAAAGGAAGAGGGGCTCTGGGGTCCCTCCTTCCAGTTTCTGGTGAGACAACTGAACTTCAGGATTTAAAGTGACTCTCAACTTTCTTATACTCCACAAAGCCAAAAAGCAAGACTTCACCTTAAATAATGTTTTACAGCTTCTTCCAGTTGCTATAAAGACGAGTCTGAGGAAGAGGTGTGGAATCATGCGTATATCTTTTCATTTTTTTTCAGAAATCCATGAAATGGTGACAGTCTGAGTGATTTATGGGAAATCTTTTTATCTGTTACCATCAGAAATGGCAACAGATACCTAAAATCTTTATTTAAAAGGCACGCGCCAATATGTTTTAAGAAACATGCAGAAGAGAGCCCTGGCTGGGCAAGGTGTACACACTTTATGACTGTCCACTGTCTTTTCAAAGAATCCAATTAGATATAAAATTGCATATTAAATTCATAGTAACAATGACAAATTGTTTCCCAAGTTCAACATAAACTTAGTGCACAGCTAAACAAACTTCAGGTTTTGTAAATATAAAACGAGAGAAAATACAGAATAGAAAAGTTTGCTGTGTCATGTGCTATTTAAACAAAGCCTTCCCATTTCCCAAATTGATTAGCAGTGGGGAGAGCTAGTCACTTAATTTCTTCCTGCTGTGGCGAGGCAGGAACGCAGAGAAAACCAGTAAGTCACCTTCAAACGCTTCTAGTTGCCAAGACTTTTTACATTTTAAAGGGAACTTTGTCCCTAGGAAGAATGGCCCGACTCAACACTTCCCAAAGAAACTGACCACTAGACAATTTAACCAGAAGAAAACAATGTGATTGGATCCCTGTTTCTGTTTACAGGTTTATACAGGTTCGGCTGGTAAGTTTCAAGACGGATTTTGAGACAATTAGAGAATTCAATGTTCTAAAGCAAACCCCACACATACACACACACACACCCCATTCCTGATGAGACACAACAAGAATTTCTTACTATTAGAATTCCAGTCCAACTTTTACAAAGTACGCTTTACGGTGTCTGTAAGTTTTTGCAAGTACTAGTGCACGGCGTATCCAGGGCTGGAAGCCGAAAGTCAGTAAATATTGATGGGCTGATGGGAATCGAGAGCTGGGCTGGCGGCAGCTGCTGGTCTGAGTTTCGCAGTGATAAGGGATGCAGGTCCAAGGGGTGCAAACCAGGGGGGCAGCCAGGAGGGCAAACATAGGTAGGGACGGCTCCGTGCCCCCCCTGGCTCGAGGAAAATGCGGCCCCTAACCTCTGGGCAGCCCCGCAGGTGCAGGCCGCCGGCGGCGAGCCCGGGAGTGACAGAGGACCCTGCCAGGCCCCTTCCCGGAGGGGGAGGGGAAGGGGACCCGGAACAAGAGCCATTTAAACTCTGCGAGGCTGTGGGAGCCGCCGCAAGGCGGCCGGAGTGACGCCAGGACCACACACCTACGCGTGTCCCGGCGACCAGATCCCCGCAGGTGACCCCCGCAGACGCGCGCCCCAGAGCCGAGGGCACGAACGCGCCGCCCCCTCCGGTGCCCCAGCCCCGACGAGCCCCGGCACCGTGTCGCCTTACCTTGGTGATGACCAGGGGCTCGCCGTGCTCGCGTCCGCCCTTCAGGGTGAAGCCCCACGGGGCGCCGCCGCTCAGCTGCACCTCCACCAGGCGCCCGCCGTCGGCCGCCCGCGCCTCGGCCTCTGCCGGACGCTCGGGCCGCGCGCGGGGCTCGGCGCCCTCCATGGCGGGGCGCCGGGGTGGCGCGGCCGCTCAGCCCCCCGGGCCCGCGCCCATGCACTGCGGGGAGCCCCGGCCGTCCGAGGGCGAGGGCTGCTCGGGGCGCTCGCACCGCCGCCGCCGGCTACTGGCAAACTTGCGCTGCAACTTGGGAGGAAAGTGCCGGCCGGGCCCGGGAGGGAGCGGGAGCGCGGCGGCACGGCGCGGGGCGGGGCGGCGGGGGCGGGGCGGCCGGGGGCGGGCCGGCGCGCTCGGAAGCTCGCGCCGCGTCGGACCCGGGGCCCGGGAGCGCGCGCTCGGGGGCTCCAGCCCGTGGCCCCGAGGGCGGCGGGCGGGGTCAGGGCCTGCGCGGGCCGCCAGGGCTGGAGGGGGCGGGGAGGGGCGCGCGCTCCCGGGTCGAGACTACCGGCGGGGGCGGGGGCCACAGCGTGAGGTCCGGTCCTTTCTCCCGCGCGAGCGCCTGGCGGCGTTGCTCGGGGTGCGTCCTCCCGCCGCGGGGAGGCCGGGCCGCGGCAGGTGAGGCGCGGGGCGCGGGAGGCGAGGCGGCGGGGGCGCCCGCGCGGTGCTGGGCGCGGTGGCGGTGACTGGAGCCCCCGGCGCCCTCCATCTTGGAGCGCGCGGCCGGCGCGGCGCCCCCCGCCTTTGTTCCGGCCGACCGAGGGCTGCGGGTGGCTGCACAGGTGAGGGCGGAAGCGCCGCAAGAAGCCCAGCGTGCCCGTGCCAAGCCGCCAGCCCTGGGGCCCTGGGACGGCGTGTGCCGAGAGCCCTGTGCGCGCACCCACGGTGCCCCGGCCCGGGCGCGCAGCCCGGCAGACGGGAAGGGCGCCCCCCGCAGCCCGGGCGGGGCGCGGGGCCCCGCGGCGCTGGCCTGTGCAGGGTGCTCAGAAAGCCGGGCTGGAGGCAGGGCGCTGGACCTGCTCCCGGGAGGGCCTCCCACGAAGTACCTCCTGCAGCGCCCAGCGGCGAGATGAATGCGTCTAGCTGGCTCTCCTCTGACCGTAGCTCAGAAACCCTTTCTGTTCAAACCCTGTTCTTACCTACATAGGATCGTGCCACAAGGTCCCAATGTCTGTCCCACGTCGTATCTCTTACAAAGGGGAGTGGGCGGTCTGGGACAGATGAGTTTTCCGACAGAAGAGTTGTGCTACTTCTGCTTGCTCCTTTTCAGTTTCTGCGAAACCCTGGTCTAAAAAAATACCTGCATTGATAGATATCGGAATGCTTTGCAAAAAAAGTTGTTTTCATTGCTGTTTATATACGTAGCTACACACTGGTGAACACCTGTTTCTTCAAAGCGGCTCCATCCAGGCACTTGTAGGAGGTGGTGATGGTGGGAGTAGGCGGCAAGGACAAGCCGGAAGAGCATGGACCCAGAGAGCCAGGGTCCCTTGGTCTGTGGGCTCTGCCACCATCAAGCTGGGACGGGGAATCTCAACTCTGGTCTCAGTTTCCTCAGGTGTCAAGTGAGAGAGTTTTATTCTGTGGGTGATCACTTTGTGTCTCATTCAGGTAATGGAATTAGGAGTCCAAGCTCCACTGGGCACCTGTCCTGGCACTGGGGCACATGGTTCCCGCCCGATAAATAACTTCCAAACTACAGTCTTCAGAATGCCTCTAGGTAGAAGAATGGAGCCTTTTTTTAAAAAAAAATTCAAAAGAGACTTAAGAGTGTTCCTCTCAGAATCAATCTCAAGTGTATTATGACTGGTGGTCACAAATCTTTGCAGATTGATTAAATTGCGCAGAACTAAATACACAAATGAGTGCATATGAAACTGGGGAAATCTGAACAAACTTAGTGGATTGTCAATATCCAGGTTGTGATACTGTGCTGTAGTTTTATAAGGTGTTGCCATTGGACAAGGCCGGTGGATCGTGAATAGTGCACGAGACCTCCCTGTATTATTTATTACAACTACGTGTGAATCCACAGTTAACCCAAAAAGCTTAAGAAATGGATGGATAATGGTAAACCAAAAGATAAAAGACCATATAAATGTACCGAGTGTCCTCACTAGAGTTTGCAGAAGTCTCCTTGTCCCAAAACCAGCCCTCTCCCCACCACCCAAGCTGGTATAGACTTAAGTCTGATCTCCTATCAGGGGCTGGAATTCAGACCATTAGGTTCACTATAAAGCAGAGACAATGATTTCATTGTCTCCGTAAGTCCATGGTTATTGTATTCAGCCCCAAAGTCATCTTTCATATTTTACGTTCATTGTATAATCATCGTCAGATTACCCACCTGCCAGTTGAAAGGGTTATACTTTTAAAACTCCCCTGTTCTTAAATTTAGGTACAAATTTACATTCATCCTTACCAAACATCATTTTGCTGAAGTTTTTTAAATCTTCACATTAGGCATCCATCCCAGCTTAGCATCACTGGAATATTTATAAGGCTGCTGTGTACAATGAATTAACATGCTTGAAGATTGCCCCAAGACTGGTGTGGCCTGCCATGAGACAGATGCACGCTCAGACTCAAAATCCTTTCATCAGAATTCTAGGGCTTACCGTATAGTTGAGCATGTCTTATCTGTGGTGTCATCTACACTTCTATATTCTGTTTGTGCCTTCATCACAAGACACCATCAGATGTTTTGTGAAAATATCAGTGTCTTGTGACTGAAAGGCATCACCTCAGTTTATCAACCTTGTACCCCCTTTGGAAGAGTGTAGTATAACATTGAACTAGTGTGTAGACTCCTAGTGGTGACGGCTTTCTTAGAAGTCACTACTCGGCCAGAATTTCCAAAGGTAGAATATATTTATGGGATTTGTCTTTTGTCCTTTTGGGAAGCCTGGGGCACCACATTTGTTCTGTGTAACTTCTCACTGAATGTTCGGCTTCTTTGCTGAGAGAACTCGAGGGTGAGCATATAATCTCTCTGGGCCTGCAGAGAGCATTACGTATGAGCACCTACATCTAGGGAGTCAGTAGCTTTAAGTATTCATGGCACTTTTCCAAAATCTGAGGTTTATTTCCTGTGAGAGAGAAGAGACAGGTGACATTGAAGGTAGTTCTGCTTTCACTTTGTCAATGAATTAATGAATGAATAAAAGGCAAATTAACCAACTTTGAGAAACTAATCTTCTTTATGAAATAGAGGCTCAAATTATTTTAGGTTTTGCTCTAATAAAAAAAAGAGATTTATACTCATTGTAAATGTGAAGGATGGAGTTAAAAAATTTTATTTTATCTTTCAAGTTAGTGGCTCAGGAGGGTGAAGCTTGGTCTTTTATAAAGGCAATGTTAGCCATTTCCTGCTTGCGGCACTTGCTCCCAAGCTCTGGGCCCTATGAACTCAGACTGGCAGACGATCAGTCAAGATCAGAGAGCACATGAGTGATGCAGTTAAAAGAAAACTTTGACACAGCAAGTTTGCCCTTTGTCCCCAAGGGTTGCCATCTTATCCTTGATTTCTATAAGCGATTACTATGAACATTGGGATTTAACTTAGCTGCACATCTTGTACCAGTGATAAAAAGCTGAAAGCTGAACCCGCCCCCACCACCACCCACTGCCCTGTCTGACCTCATAAGGATTTTATTTTACATAGATCTTTTTGTCCTTGAAATATTTACAGACCTCCAGGGGAGAGATTTCCCCTTTCTGTGCAGGGGGAGGGGGACAGGGAGACCACTTGGTCTCTACCTGTACCTGGCATCATTATCCTATTTATAGATTCCACATTTGGAGTTTGTATTCTAGGACCGCTACTTTTCACCGATGAAGAAAATAGCCACAACAACTAAAAAATAGTAGCTATCATTCACAGAGTACCTCCTGTGTGCCAGGCACTTTCTTTTTTCTTTTTTCTTTTTTTTGAGACAGAGTCTCACTTTGTTGCCCAGGCTAGAATGAGTGCTGTGGCATCAGCCTAGCTCACAGCAACCTCAAACTCCTGGGCTGAAGCGATCCTCCTGCCTCAGTCTCCCGAATAGCTGGGACTACAGGCATGCGCCACCATGCCTGGCTAATTTTTTCTATATATGTTAGTTGGCCAACTAATTTCTTTCTATTTATAGTAGAGATGGGGTCTTGATCTTGCTCAGGCTGGTTTCGAACTCCTGACCTCGAGCAGTCCTCCCACCTCGGCCTCCCAGAGGCTAGGATTACAGGCGTGAGCCACCACGCCTAGCCTGGGCACTTTCTATAAATTGACTCAGATCCTCTCTGCAAACTTGCTTGGTGTATGCATCACCCCATTTTACAATGAAAGGAACTGAGACCCAGAGGGGTTAAATAACTTGCCCGAGATCACCAAGCCCAGATCCCCGTGAGGGACTCCTGTTCTTCCTCTTACAGGCACCAAACCTCTGCTGGACCCAGTGTCGAGCAGCAGAGGGTAGTTCTCACTGAGTGGGTGTGTTGACTTTCGTCTGCCGGATACAATATTTGGGACACTTGGCCACCTTAGAGATTCCCTTGATCTGCAGACAGCAATTTCCAAACAGGAAAGAGGCTGAAGCCTACCCGTGAGACAGCTGTGCTCATCTGGGCAAACTGGATGCTCATTGAGGTCTGCCAAGTGCTGACTCTTTTACATTTAGAATGTGCTCTTTAAAATGTTATATGTGTGACATGTGAATTATATGTCAATAAAGTTGTTTTTAAAGAAATGTTACATAAAGGCCAAGTTTCCATATATATATAATTATGTAACATCTGTATTATATAATTATAGATTTAGATACATATCAATAAGGAACTTTCAAATCAGGAGTACTTAATAAGAGAAAATACTTAGCTGCAGCTACTGTAACAAAGTTTTTGTAATTTGGAATGTAGCTTTAGGAAGCCATTGGCTATTTTCTGTGTTGTAATAAAGTAGCCAGTGAGCCTGTGTTTCCAGAGCCCTTTTTGCTCACCCAGCACTGGGGGCGGGGTGCCGGGGAATGTTAAGGTCGCAGGAAATATGAAACATTAACTCTGGGAGGAAAAAGAAATGAAATCTCATGAAGAAAATCACAGAGCAATTAAGTGCTAAGCCACTTTTAACTACAAAAGTTTCAACAAGAGAGAAATCAGAAGAAAATCAAAAGAATAAAATCATAAGTGGAATATTTTATTTTTCACCTTTAATCGTGGAAATTTCAAAGGGACACACAAGTAGAATTCTTGTTTGAACCATTGCCCACTTTTTTTCTTGAAGTATTTCAAAGCACGACCAAGCCACGAAGACTGAGCCGTCCCCTGGGGGTGGAGAGGGAGTGGGGGTGCGGGCTCATCGGGTGGTCCTGTGAAGATTGGAGGGTCCATCAGGAGTCTCAGGACTGCAGATAGAAATCTCCAGTGAGTACAGTTCTCGTTAAACTTCTCAGAAGAATAATGTCAAACGCAGGTTTGGAAAGGCCATTCCCACGTCCAAAGCGAAGCCCCGGGAGTGCCTGGTGGCCAGCAGAGGTCATTCCTTCCGCAGCCCCACCGGGCCCTGGACGGTGCGCCAGGCTGTGTCTCAGAGTGGAGCCCGGCAGGAGGAAACAGGCAGGACCTGTGCCCCCGTAGGGTTGGACGTGTGGCCAGGGCGCCCAGAGATGGTGGAGGGACTGTTGCTGCCGCCAGTAATGTTGAGGACCAAGGCATGACATCAGCATGGTGACTGAGCTCAAGAAGGACAAGATCGCCAGTCGAGGCGCTGAGAGGCCACACTGGAACAGGAGGATGGTGGAAGAGGGCTGTGGGCCAGGGACTACATCCAAGGAATGAAGGGGGTGACTCTGGTCCCCAAACAATGTCAGCCTGAGCGGGGCCTGGGGGAGGCCGAGTACTTGAAGAGCCAGGCGTCCCTCTGTGCACTGGTGAAGGGGGGTGGCTGGTGATGGAGGGTTTGGAGTGGAGGAGGCCAGGAGATGGGGTGTGTAGGGAAAAGGCTAGCTCGCTCGTGCAAGCAAAGACCAAGGGCGTGAAATGGCAGGTGCTATTGGGAAGACAGTGGATGGCGAGGGCTGGGAGACAGATTCAGCGGGGTGCATGTGTGTTGGGAGTGGTGTCAGAGTTGGGGTCTGGCTTCAGTAACTGGGTAGAGACACTGATAACTGGAAGGTTGGAAGCAGGGTGGTTGTGGCGGAGAGGGAGAAGGCAATGAGTTATGTTTGGACAGGTTGAGTGTAAGATGCCTTTTGTGTTAGTTTCCTAGGGCTGTGTGTGCAAATTACCAGAAATGTGGTAGCTTAGAACAACAGAAACGTTTTCTCTCCAGTTCTGCTCTGACAAACAAGTGTCAGCAGGGCCATGTCCCCTCTGGAGTCTCCAGGGAAGAATCTTTGTCCCTTCAGGCTTCTGGTGGCAGCTGGCATTCCTTGGTTTGTTGTCACATCACTCCAGTCTTTGCCTGTGTGGTCACACAGCCTTCTCTTCTTGACTTCGGGCTTTTGGCCTGCAGAACTGTGAGAGAAGAAACTCTTGTTTTAAGCCACCCAGTTTGTGGTCATCTGCTGCAGCAGCCCCAGGAAATGAATGCAGAACAGTTGCAGATTTGCAGAAAAATGGAGCAGACAGTGGAGTTCCCAGGCACGCCCTACCCACTTGCACCTATTAACGTCTTATGTTGTGAAGGCACATTTGACACAATTAATAAACCAACCTGGGCATGTTATTATTCACTGAAGTCCACCTATTCAGAGTCCCTTAATTTTTCCCTAATGTTCTTTCTTTTTTTTTTTTTCTTTTGAGACAGAGTCTCACTCTGTTACTCAGGCTACAGTGCCGTGGCGTCAGCCTAGCTCACAGCAACCTCAAACTCCTGGGCTCAAGCGATTCTACTGCCTCAACCTCCTGAGTAGCTGGGACTACAGGCATGTGCCACCATGCCCGGCTCATTTTTCCTATGTATTTTTAGTTGTTCAGTTAATTTCTTTCTATTTTTAGTAGAGATGGGGTCTCGATGTTGCTCAGGCTGGTTTTGAACTCCTGACCTTGAGCGATCCTCCCACATTGTTCTCCCAGAGCGCTAGAATTACAGGCGTGAGCCACTGCGCCCAGCCCCTAATGTCCTTTCTCTGCCTCAAGATCCCATCCAGGATACCCCATTGCATTCAGTCGTCTTGTCTTCTTGAGTGCCTTGAAGAGGTGGTTCTTATTTTTACTCCAAGATGTCTCTCCATGAGGCTTGGGTGTCGTTGAAGGTAGCTGAGCCACTGCAGAGTCTGAAAGCTCCGGCTCTCTCTTCACAGGCTCTGTGGCGCTGACCTTGAATGTGGTGAGCCACCCTGACTTGATCACCATGAACCATGCCCAGGAGGCTGTCCATGTCACACCCAGGTGTGCATCCCTGCCCTTCTGGACATGCCCAGGTGTGTCTCAGGCACCGCGGTGACCCTTCCTCCCTCCCACCCTGTACCCCCCCCCCCGCTCTACATGCACACACACGCACGCACGTGCACGTGCACACAGAAACATCCTCGGAGCTGACATAATTCTGCGAGGGAGGGAGGGGTCTGGAAACTGAAACCGCCGAGTCTTCAGTGTTGGAGGACTGCTGATTGGGGTCCGGGAATTTCTTCACTGGCCGCTGGCCAAAATGCTTGCTTCAATCAAACCTATTTTCCTGAACTTCAAGGAATGTAGAAATATTCGACTAGGGGTAAAAATAACAGGAAGCAAGTAATGGAAGACAACTGTGCGAAAGGTGGTGCGGCAGACACAGGGAGTTTCTAAAAACTTAATTGGTCATCATAATTCTTTACTTTTGTGTAATCATCCACACGGAAGTCCCAAAGGAAGTATTTACCTTTTTAAAAATAAATTTTTATTGTGGAATAATTTAAATGTATAGAAACGTTGTAAAGATTACAGTACATAGTATACGCTTTACCCCGAGTGTAACGATGGTACCTTCATAGCTATGGTACTTTTGTCAAAACTAAGAAATTGCCATTGGTATGTTACTGTTAACCATACTCCTGGCTTTATTTGGATTCCCCAGTTTGATGGCTAATGTCCTCTTTCTGTCCCAGGATCCCATCCGGGGGCCCATGCTGCATTTTGTTGTCACGTCTCTGCTCTGTGACAGTGTCTCTGTCTTCCCTTATTTGTCGTGACCTTGAGAGTTTGAAGGACTGGTCAGGTATTTTGTAGAATGTCCCCCATGTTGTCCATCTGACCTCTTTCTCTTGATTAGCCTGGGGTTATGGGATTTGAGGACGATTTCTACAGATGTGGGGTGTCCTCTTTATCACATCAGGCGTCCTTAACATCACACAACTTATCACAGGTAGTGGCAAATCACGTGGGTAAGGTGGTGATTCTGAGGTGACTAGGTTTCTTCATATAAAGTCACAGGGAAAATTTCCCCTTTCCTGGTTGACCTTTTAACATTTTTTTCATTTTTAATTATTCCGGGTACATAATAGTTGTATACCTGGCTGACATTTTTAGCATAGTGATTTTTACCATTCAAAGGTGTTCTGTGGGAAATCACTTTGATTCAGTGGTAGCCACTGAGTATGCCACTGGGCAGGCTGTCCCCGAGACCGCTGGTCACACTGCTGATTAACTCGATTGAAAACTGACAGCAAGAAAGGAGGAAAGGTCGGGTGGTGGCTGCATGCCGGGCGGGCTGCGTTAATGTGGACATGTCTTCTCACCCTGTCGCTGCCCGTGTGGCCGGGAGGACGGCAGTTGAGGCCGAGCCAGGAGGTCAGCACCGCTGCTACCCCAGAGAGATGCCCACCCTGCGCCTGGCCACCGCCGTGGCTTGCTAGTTAGCCCACCAGCAGCCATGGTGTGGGCTGCCTTTCTCAGGGAGGGGACGCAAGCGGCCAGACTGGGCAGCCCAGGACAAAGCAGTGAGACCCAAAGACACGGGGAAAGGGCCACCACGGTTAAACCGCCAGGCAGCGCTCAGAGGAGCAGCTCATCCCCACCGCGGGCATCAGCACCGGCAGGTCCCCGGCTGCTCAGGTGTGTGCTGCACCAGCGTCCCAGATGGCGGGTCTGCAGCCCCCCGGAGAGCGTGGGGGAAGCCTGGGCCCTCCGCCAACACACGGCTGTAACCGCCAGCCAAGTCCCTGAGGTTAATGTGGGTTTCCTGTTCCCTGCTCACGGCCACCTGAGTGCCAGCAAAGCAGTCACTTCAACATTAGCCGCAGTCAGTGGTTAATGAGCAGATTTAGTCGTTTTTGTTACATAGGTGAGATTTGTGGGATTGAGGACTCCCAGGCATATAGTCATCCTAGAAAAAGTCGCCATCTTGTTTTACTATATTCATAGAATATGCTGCAAAAGGAAACATTAGGTAAAATTGGATTTCAAAACTGTGACATGTATATATGCATGCCCATCCTAATCATCCCCCTCCCCCACACACACACAGACACACACAAAACCTTGGAAGCACAGTTGCGACGAGCATGGCATCACAATTTGCCACCTGTGACCTGCTTCCCACTTCTAAAAAGTGCACTCCGTGCTGCTTCTGTAGGGTGGCGGAGGCCTCATTTCCTGGCTCTGAGCAGCTCACGTGCACTCGTGGTGGCTGGACGTGCGTCTCCGGGTCCCCTCCTAAGGAAGTGTCATGGCCTAATCTGCTCAGACTTGATTCTCAACTCCCTGCCTCTGTGACCCTGGACACGTTCTGTCACCTGCTCTGGCGGGGGGCAGTCAGGTAATGTTAACACCCTTTCTTTCCTCTTTTCAGGACACAACCCACCTTCTCTCCAGCTCGTGTTTGTTTGTTTATTGAGACAAAGTCTCGCTCTGTTGCCCTGGGTAGAGTGCAGTGGCGTCATCATAGCTCACTGCCACCTCAAACTCCTGGGCTCAAGTCATCCTTCTGCCTCAGCCTCCTGAGTAGCTGAGAATACAGGCACGTGCCACTACGCTGGGCTAATTTTTCTGTTTTTTGTAGAAATGGGGCCTCACTCTTGCTTAGGCTGGTCTCGAACTCCTGAACACAAGTGATCCTCCCACCTTGGCCTCGCAGAGTGCTAGGATTACAGGTGAGAGCCACCACACCTGGCCCCTGGCTCGGTTTTGTCGCCTCTCTTCCATGCCGAGACGGCGTGGCTCAAACAGACTCTGCCTGCTACAGAGCTGGGGTTCTACTGGTAGGCACTCTTTTTCCACCCATGAACGTCTGTGGATTTTCAGAGGAGGGCATAGTCTGAGACTCTGGTGCTTCCTTGGGCGAGCGCAGTACTCAACAGCCACAGCAGTCGGGCTCTCTGGGTCCAGAGCCTGCTCCAACACTCACTCCTTTGTGCAATGTCTGCAGAGCCGCTGACTTTCCCGGGGGGCAGAGGAGGGGTTCGCTGCCAAGTCTAAGCCCCGGCCACATGTTCTGCCCTCTCAAGGCTTTGCAGCCAACCCTGAGCATTTTTGTCCATTCCACAGGGTCAAACCAAGCAGATTTAGTTGTGGATGGAGATTATAGCAGATGCTGCCTGGAGTCACCCTTGTTCTTTCGTCCATGAATGTTTTCCTGCACCCCAGCAGCTAATGCTTGCCTCTCCCTGGAGGAAGACGCCCTCAGGTACAGCAGTTCACTCTGCCCTTGTGCTCAGAGAGCCCGAGGGGCCCGACACGCAAGGAGTGGAAGTGCCCACCCCAAGGGCAGCCCGGACTGGCTGGCGGACAGCAGTGGGGCAGGAACATCGCAGCCCCCTCGTCCGGGGGACTCTCTTGGGCTGCCTTTGAGGAACCGAGCCTTTGTACTGTGAGCTGCCCTGTGGAGGGGCCCGAATGGCAAGAAACTAAGCAGCCCACAGCCCACCAGGAGCCGCACCCTGCCAATAAACACTGCATCCGGCCCTGCTGATGGTGTTCGTGTCTTTTTTTTTTTTTTTTTTTTTGAGACAGAGTCTCACTCTGTTGCCTGGGCTAGAGTGCCATGGCATCAGCCTAGCTCACAGCAACTTCAAACTCCTGGCTCAAGCGATCCTCCTGCCTCAGCCTCCCGAGTAGCTGGGACTACAGGCATGTACCACCATGCCCGGCTAATTTTTTCTATATATTTTAGTTGGACAATTAATTTCTTTATATTTTTAGTAGAGACTGGGTCTCGCTCTTGCTCAGGCTGGTTTCGAACTCCTGACCTTCAGCAATCCACCTTCCTCGGCCTTCCAGAGTGTTCGTGTCTTTTGACTTTAGCAGGAAACAGGGTATGCAAGAACATCTGTGCATACAGGACATCTCAAATTGGAATGGATTTACTGACTTTTGATTGAACAAATGATTTCCATCATTCATGATCTTAAAAGCACAAATAAAACTCTTTTTCTATGTTCAATTTGGCTGTCAATGAAGGGTGTATAATTTTTCCACAATTCTATTAAGAGTTAATTTTGTATATACATTCAAACAAAAGATGCGTGTGTGTGTGTGTGTGTGTGTGTGTGTGTGTGTGTGTGTGTACTTTCAAAGCCACTCCAGAGAGAGCAGATTTATGTGAAAGAATTTGCCTTTGAGGGGCCTTCAGTGTTCATCAGCAGAACTCAGATACATAGCTGAACATCATCACGTCTCAAAACCATTACATTCCTTTGTGGGTGTTAGAAATTTTGTTTAAAAACTTTTCTTCTTTTGAACTGAAATGTCCAAATGTCAACCTGTAAAATAAAGTGAACTGAACCGAAACTCTGATATTCCTTTTTATAGAGAATGGTAGGGAAATGTCTTTAGGTATGCAAATGGGAGGATTGTTTCCTACCATGAAGGAATGTAGAATTATTTATGCTTTCATGCACATCCAGAAAAAGCACAACATGTGAATTTACACGTAAAATACTTCACTTGGCAGTAACTGAAGTAAACACTGAACTATCTTTAATAGTTTCTGCTTGTCTGTTTATTTGTGGCACTATTCTCTTAGTTGTTAAACATTTTAAATAATAGCATTAGCTACTCATATCACAATTAACTTTTAATATATGTTTTGTTTCCTTTTCTTTCTACTTGGTGTTTATTCCATCACTAATGCCAGTTTCAGCTCTGGAGCTATACGAAAACTGTTACTCTTGGTACATTTACTTCATCTGACTGTTACTAATCATTCCTATGGAAAGAATGGCATGTGTTCCAGGAACTTTCGCTGTGAGTTGAAAATCGAATCGCTGTGAGGCAAAGCCTGTCTTGCCTTTCATTTGAGCTTTCTTCTCACAGTTGACGGCTGGCCGGCTGACATTCACCGAGAAAGCATTTAAACTGGTGTGTGAGGGGTTGGTCCACAAAGGGCAGGGAACTGCTGCCCAGGGCAGGAAGAGCTTCTCCAGGAGCTCACACAATGCGGCTTCCTGTTTTATCTAGACCAGGGTGGAAGTTCTCCCATAAGTTTCAACCTCAGAAAATTGTCAGGACATCCTCTGTTCCTGACACAAGTCACTTGTGTCTGTCCCACCCAGCCCTTATCTGTTATCCTCCTCTTCCCTTTGCTCCCTTTTCCTGCCAGCATCCTGACTCTGTCCCGGGTTAGTCCCAAGCATTCTCACTGTCGGACCCCCAGAGGAAGGTGGCTGCTTGTCATTCCCAGACCCAGACCGCCACCTCCCTCCCTGACTCGTGCTTTGCTTTGGGAATGCGCCTTGGCTTAGTTGGGTGCTAATCGATTTTTCTGCATCTATTTTGAACCAAGCCCTCCCCAAATTCAAATCTGACCTGGGAGTGCCCTTTGTGTTTCAGGGCGAGATACAAGCCCTAGGGCCTTGCTTGTCCAAGTAGGAGCCTCAGGCCAACAGCCACCAGGTCTCCTGGGGGGCGGCTAGAGATGCAGAGCCTTGGACCCCACCCCAGACATCCTGCATCAGACCCGCCTTTTCACCAGATCTGCAAGTGAATGCACAAGAAAGCTTGACAGGCCTGATGTCATTTCAGGTGTCTCTCTATTTTCAAAAAGTATAATACAATTTAATTTTAAACCATACTCATTCCTTATCTTTTTCCACCCCCTCCACTTTTCTCATCTTTATGACTGTTAGTTTATTTGGGGTTGGCAGTGCCTTTGCTCTTTTGGTGTTCTTCTTCATTAAGGTCTGGTAACACTCCCTTTATTGATCACAGATTGTCTCTTGATTGTTGCTCAATCAGCTTGCATATGGTACCCAATACATTTCTGGTGAATTGAACTGAATTGAAAAGCAAAGATGCTGCTGGTCCTCGGATGGAAGGGAAGGAGGTTGTGGCCCAAGCAGCTGAAATCCTTTATCAGGAAGGCGGCTGTCTGAGCCTAGGCTGCTTTGTGCACAGAGCCTAAGGCACGTTGTGCCAAAGCTTTCTTGGGGTCAGGTCCCAGGACTACAGGACTGAAGACAAAAGGGAAGTGAGTCAGGGAAGGAGGAAAGCACATGGGAACAGTGTGTTTATGAACTGACCATGAAATTCCCAAGAAGCTAAGCTGGTGGTCGCAAAGCACTCCTTGTGCACGTCCATACTGAGGAAGGAAGGACGAGCAATTTATCTGCCAGCAACTTCCTGCTTCCACTCTCTCACTGGATTCCGTTTGCCTGCCCCATTAGGTGTTAGCCCCCCTGCAATTCCCAGTTAGCTGCCCAGCTCTTTGGGGCAGCTGCTAGGTAAGCCAGAGCCTCAGTCAGTAGGCTTATATGAGCTGCAACCTACCCTACGGCCCTTTGCCTATTTTGTAAATAAAGTTTTATTGGAACACAGCCATACCCATTCACTTGTGTATTGTCTACATCAGTTTAAGTATCAGTAAAACTTACCTGTATGGCTCCTTCCAAATATGAAATCTAAAATTCAGAGCATAGGCCAGGCGCGGTGGCTCACGCCTATAATCCTAGCACTCTGGGAGGCCGAGGCGGGCAGATTGCTCTAGGTCAGGAGTTCAAAGCCAGCCTCAGCAAGATCGAGACCCCGTCTCTACTATAAATAGAAAACAATTAATTGGCCAACTAATATATATATGGAAAAAATTAGCCGGGCATGGTGGTGCATGCCTGTAGTCCCAGCTACTTGGGAGGCTGAGGCAGGAGGATCGCTTGAGCCCAGGAGTTTGAGGTTGCTGTGAGCTAGGCTGACACCACAGCACTCACTCTAGCCTGGGCAACAAAGTGAGACCCTGTCTCAAAAAAAAAAAAAAAAAAAAGAGCATAGTGCCTGCCCACACTCCATAAATTATTATTTAAATTTTATTTATTATTTAAATTCAGATTATTTTGAATTAACAGTCTCCTCACTTAGGCTGTGGCAACACTTGTCTGTCCCAGTCACTTTGGGACTCCGGGCTCAGTAGGATACCTGAGATTTTCACAATGAACTCAGTCCTTTCGGCTGAGACATGTGGATGTCGGGACTAATAAGCCGCCTGGGAGAGAAACCCACTGAGCACCTCCCAGCAGTTGGTGCATCTGCTCAGGCAAGAGTGGTGGCCAAACAGATGCATGTTCATGGACTTGGAAACCAATTGTCACTGCACAAATACGCTCAGCAGCACCACCTTTGTATAATGTTTCTCCCATCTACAAAGCTTCCAGATATTTCTGCCTCCTAAGTGTGTGTGTGTATGCATATGTGTGTGTGTGTGTGTGTGTGTGTGTTTGCTATAGCTCATCTACTTTTGTTGCATTTGTAACCATCCTGTTTCATGAAAAGTTTCTGTCACCATCTCCATTTTATTTCTCATGTTAATTTCAAGTTCCTTCTTACTTTGATGACAGATTTTTAAAAATTTAGTCTTATAGCCACGCTTCTGCACATTTGCTCGGAGGCCCACCTTTATTTAGCATAGTCAACCGCCAACGTGGGCCTAGGAATCTGCAATTGTAGCAGTTTCCTCTCCAAGGAGATTCTGACTACTGACCCCCGTGGGAGGCAGGTCCTTGAACACTGGCACTGGAGCCAGCCAGAGTCCCTGGCGAGCACCCCCAGGTGTGCAGGTGGGAAGCAGAGAGGTGGACATAAAACTGAGTTGGAATGCACCACCCATTCAAGTGCATTGGCCAAACAAGCCCCTGGCAGTTGGGCAAGCATACAGACACTCCTTTTCCATTTTTGTCTTGTAAAGCACATTCCATTACAGTAACCTCCAGAAGCAACCTCTGCTTACCAAGAGAGAAAGAAGAGACTGTCCAAATTAGATATCAGGATCCATGCTTTACAATATCAGCATTGGGGAAGTAGTTCTATGGCAGTAGTTCTATGGTGCTTTCTACTGTTTTTACAACTGAAGGTGTAATGCAGAAGAGCTGTTAAGATTTTTGAAAATGTTGGTCTGTTCTGACTTCTATTCACACAGTGTGAACAGGCTGCATTTATAGACGTGCCAGGACTCCCTTCTTTTGAAGCGGTGGCCTTTGCAGCCCATTGTTAAAGACAGCTCTGCTCCCTGTCTGGCACTGGAGCCTCCAGTCTGCCCTCTGCGGGGTCCCAATGGAACCCCAGTCCCGGGGTCCCCAGAGGAAGATGGCATGCGCATTGAGCACACACTTTGCCTTCCTTAAAAGTGCAAGGCTGCTGTGGAAAGTTAGCTGAGCCACTGTGGTGGGAGGGCAGGGGGAAGAGCCCATGGAAACAATGGGGACACCTTAGCTTTGGCCGATTGAAAAAAATGTAGAGGTGAGCACGGTGGCTCGCGACTGTAATCCTAGCACTTTGGGAGGCTGAGGCGGGCAGATCACTCAAGGTCAGGAGTTCGAAACCAGCCTGAGCAAGAGCGAGACTCCATCTCTACTAAAAATAGAAAGAAATTAGCTGGACAACTAAAAATATATTTTTAAAAAATGAGCTGGGTATGGTGGCATATGCCTGTAGTCCCAGCTACTCGAGAGGCTAAGGCAGGAGGATCACTTGAGCCCAGGAGTTGGAGGTTGTTGTCAGCTAGGCTGATGCCACGGCACTCTAGCCTGGGCAACAGATTGAGACTCTGTCTCAAAAAGGAAAAAAGAAAAACCCTGGAGAGGGGCCCATTTTACTGGGGTAGAGGAGGAGGAAAGATGTCTCTTTTGTGGTCAAAAATGAGCCTATTGGGTTTACGGATGATGATAAATATGATAGTTCCGGAATTTTTTTTCTTTTTATAAAATATAAAGGCCATAAGCTAGAGGGGCATTTGTATTTTCAACCTTGAAGAACTTTTCTTTAAACATCACTCAGTATGCTTATTGTTATCATTAATATTGATATTATTTTGAAACCCATGTGTATAGAATAAAGCAAGATTTTGAATGTGTAAGAAAATAGAAAAGTTAACACAATTATGAAAAATCTGATTAAACTCGAATAGCTTTTTTTTTCTACACAGGATGGCTTTTGAGAGCTAATTTGGAGTGTCAGAAACTTTACTGTGTTGCAGTTGAGCAAAAATGGAACACAACTGAAAGTTAAGGTGCAAAATGTGTGTGTGTTAAGTAGTTTCCCCTTTCTTTCAGATTGATACTGCTGGATGCAGCGGCTCACGCCTGTAATCGTAGCACTTTGGGAGGCTGAGGCAGGAGGAATTTGAGGCTGCAGTGAGCTATGATGACACCACTGCACTCCAGCCTGGGCAACAGAGCAAGACCTTGTCTCCAAAAAATGAATGAATTGATTACTTAAATTTAAAAATTAAAAAACAATTATTTTAGTGATTCTTTTGTTCACTTTAAAGGAAAATCGTACCTCTGTGAAGGTGTTGCCCCGAATGACAGGGGCTATAAACAAGCACTGCGCTATTGTAACAGCAGTCGCTACTTAACAGGCACTTACAGGCACCCCACACAGTGTGTGAACGTGTTCTGGTGCCTGCAAGGCATCAAGATCAGGATGTCAGAACCCTAAATAGGAAAGATCTGGCTCGTGAGGCCTGTGTTTTTAGTGAGACCAGCTAAGAAGAGATGGCAGGTTTGGGGCTCTAGCTGCTGGAGAATGAACCACCAGGAAGCCTTGGTGAATGGGGGGAAAGCTGACCTTATGGACCCCCTCCCCAACCTCTCACCCCCTCCCCCTTCTCTCCTCCTCCCTCCTCCCTTCCCCTCTCTGTGTCTCCTCTCCCCCTTCTCCTTCTCCCCCCTCCTCCTTCTCCTTCTCTCCCCCTCCTCCTTCTCCTTCTCTCCCCCTCCTCCTCTTCTCCCTCCTCTCCCCTCCTCCACCGCCCAGGCATCACCCTCGTGAGGCCTCGTGGCGTTAGCGGAGGGCACGGCCCCCACCGCGCCTGGCGCCTTTTCTGCAAGAACGGGGGTTGGGGCGGAGGGGAGAGCCAGGGCGCGTGATGCCCCCAGCCCGCCCAGCACATGACCCAGGCGGGCCGGTGGGGTCCTGGCACTCCGCGCCGCGTCCCCCAGCAGGGCCATGGCCTCCCCTCGCCTGGGGACCTTCTGCTGCCCCACGCGGGACGCGGCCACGCAGCTCGTGCTGAGCTTCCAGCCGCGGGCGTTCCACGCGCTGTGCCTGGGCAGCGGCGCGCTCCGCCTGGCGCTGGGCCTCCTGCAGCTGCTGCCCCGGCGCCGGCCCGCGGGTGCCGGCGCCCCCGCCACCTCCCCGCCAGCCTCGGTCCACATCCTGCGCGCCGCCGCCGTCTGCGATGTGCTCGGCTGCCTGGGTAAGGGCGCCGGCCCGCGGGCTGCGACCTGGCGGGTGTCGGGGAGGGCGCGCGGCCCGGGGGTTGAGAAGTGACGGGTGTCCCGGGAGGGCGCGTGCTGGAAGCTGGAGGCGGCTCTCTAGGGATCCGACCGACGACCAGGTGATTCTGCAAAGCAAGATGGTCGGTAAAATTCATGTCCAAGGGACGTTGAGTTTTTAAAGATAAGTTTATTGTGTTTGATATACTGAAACTTCAGACAGTGCAGTTAAGCAGACAGTGGGTTTTGGTTAGCTGCACCAAGGAGGGACTAACAGTTAACACTCTGTGTGTGTGTGTGTGTGTGTGTGTGTGCGCGCGCGCGCTCTTTTTTTGCACCGTACAGTCTTTCCAGAGTGTTTTTTAACCTGAAACCCTTCCTTGTCCAGGCCTTTTAGGTTTGGTTTGTACACCACATGCGTGCAAACTGCAGCCCCCAGGCCAAATCCTGCTGCCCCTCCTCTACAGGAGTTAAGAATAGTTTTAGATTTTAAGTTTTTTTGTTTTTTTTTTTTTGAGACAGGGTCTCAGTCTGTCGCCCTGGCTACAGTGCAGTGGTCTGATCATAGCTCACTGCAGCCTCAAGCTCCTGGGCTCAAGCGATCCTCCTGCCTCAGCCTCCCAGTAGCTGAGACTACAGGCACCCTCCCAACCCCTGCTAATTTTTCTATTTTTTGTGGAGCGGGCTTTCACTCTTGCTCAGTCTGGTGACCTCCTGACCTCAGGTGATCCTCTCACCTTGGCCTCCAAAAATGCTAGGGTTACAAGCATTTTAAGTCTTTTTAAAAATTAGAATAAGAAGTATATTTGGCCGGGCGAGGTGGCTCACGCCTGTAATCCTAGCACTCTGAGAGGCCGAGGCCGGCAGATTGCTCAAGGACAGGAGTTCAAAACCAGCCTGAGCAAGAGCGAGACCCGTCTCTAGTAAAAATAGAAAGAAAATTAATTGGCCAACTAAAATATATAGAAAAAATTAGCCGGGCATGGTGGCACATGCCTGTAGGTCCAGCTACTTGGGAGGCTGAGGCAGGAGGATCGCTTGAGCCCAGGAGTTTGAGGTTGCTGTGAGCTAGGCTGACGCCACGGCACTCTAGCCCAGGCCACAGAGTGAGATTCTGTCTCAATAAAAAAGAAGGATATTTGCTGGCTTGGGACTGTACATGAACTTCAAATGTTAGTGACCATAAATAAAGTTTCAGGAGTCGAAGCTATGCCGTGCACATGCACTTACGCATTGTCTAGGGCTGCTTTTGCCCTAGGAGGGCAAACTGAACAGTGGATGGAGAAAGTATGTCCCACAAAGCCGAAAATATTTACTATCTGCCTCTTTATAGAACAAGTTTGCCAACATCTGCTTTAAACTATAGCATGACATTTTTTTCAGACCTCTAAGCTAGATTCTGCCATTTTGTTTAACTTTTCATTTTGGAAAATTTCCAACATACATAAATGTAGTCTATTATATATAAGCAAATATAATGAATTTCCATGTACCCCTCACCGAGCTTCACCCACACCCCTCATCACCCTCCTCACTGGATTAATTTGAAGCAAATCCCAGGCTTTGTATCATTTCGTCCATTTGGATCTCAGTGTAGAGCTCTCAAACATAAGAATTTTAAACATATATATCTCTAATATCATTATCACTTTAAAATAATTAAAACCAATTCCTTAATATTATCAGTGTATGTCCATTTGTCTCAAAAATATTATTTTACAGTTGGTTTGTTCAAATAAAGATCCAAATACTGTCCACCCTTTGCAATTGGCTGATAGGTGCTGACCATTTTGAAAATGTATTTTCCGGTAATGTTTGTCCTTGAAGCAAAGGCTGTTAAGTATATGTTTTTTTTTTGTTTTGTTTTTTTTTGAGACAGAGTCTCGCTTTGTTATCCAGGCTAGAGTGAGTGCCGTGGCGTCAGCCTAGCTCACAGCAACCTCAAACTCCTGGGCTCAAGCAATCCTCCTGCCTCAGCCTCCCAAGTAGCTGGGACTACAGGCATGCACCACCATGCCCGGCTAATTTTTTCTCTATATATCAGTTGGCCAATTAATTTCTTTCTATTTTTAGTAGAGACGGGGTCTCGCTCTTGCTCAGGCTGGTTTTGAACTCCTGACCTTGAGCAATCCGCCCGCCTCGGCCTCCCAAGAGCTAGGATTACAGGCGTGAGCCACAGCGCCCGGCCTAAGTATATGTTAACTGCCCTTTGTACCCCACCTTGAGCAGGTGTCTGGGCACAGTTGGCTGTGTGTCCCAGGAGCCAGTCCTGTCCTATGTGCAGAGTGCCAAAGATTTGACTGGAGACACTCAAGAACTTTGAGTCCAAATAATTCTGTGCAACCTCAGGTTGCTTTCTCAGGCTTGAGGAACGAGATGAGGAAGCAACATTCCCTTTCCATTAGGGATAAAATGATTCTGGCACAGCACAAGTCAATCAAAATTGGTTTTTTTCCTAGTTCCACTAAATCACTTTGGAAAAGCGTCTTCATAGTAATTTAGTTTCTGTAACTTGAATGTATGGAAATAAAGATGTACCTAAACATCTTTTCATGGTTAGTGAATAATACTTGCATATCCTTTAGCCTTAGAACGGAAGCGATGACGTCGTGGGCAAACGGGCAGAAGTGGAAGTCAGGGAGTGCTGCGTGGTCGGGACCCCTTACTGAAAAATAAGAAATTTGAATTGGTACTGCATCGGGCTTTTCTTAAGCTCAAAGGAGTGGTATATGCTGAAAATTTTAAGGCACTTTACAGAAGAAAGGAATTATTTTATTAGCAGTGGCTTGATAATGAGAAGATCTATCTTAAGCTTTTCAGTGTCCACGGTTGTCCTTTAGTGGTATATTACATAGTGTGTGTTCAGGAGTGTAGTAAATACTCTGTGTTTAGTAGGGTATTACGTACTATATTATTAGTAGTGTATTCCATAATGGATTCAGTAGTGAATTCCATAGTGTCTGTTTAGTAGTATGTTACTCAATATGTGTTCAGTAGTGTATTGCATAGTGTGTGTTCAGTAGTGTATTGCATAGTTTATGTTTAATAGTGTATCACATAGCATGTGTTTGGTACTGTATTCCATAGTGTGTGTTTGGTAGTGTATTGCAGTGTATTCCATAGTGTTTGGTAGTGTGTTACATAGTACATATTCAGTAGTGTATTGCACAGTGTGTGTTTAGTAGTGTATTGCATGGTGTGTGTTCAATAGTGTATTGCATAGTGCGTGTCAAGTAGTATGTTACATGTACACTAGTATACACTAATACATAGCGTGTAGCTTTGTATTGCTTCCAGTTTTCCTTTAGCAGTACGTTACAGAGTGCAAGTTTAAACAAAGGGTATTGCATTACCTAACAAAGTACCGTAATATATTCCATGCGTGTGTGTATTGTTTTGAGTGTTAGATGTTTGTGTCTACCGTAATAGCAAGGGGAACTCACAAATAATAAATGTTAGAAGCAAATTGTTGAGAGCTAATTTGTGAAAATCTTAAATGTATTTTTACAAAGAATGAGGGAACTATATATTAAAACTTCCGAATTGTGCTTTTTGAATGACTCTTTTTTATATGAGGAATAATTAACACGGACATTAAAAATGCAGCTGAGAAATAGATTGCTAGTCGCATAGTGGTTCTGTAATGCCGAGTAAACAAAGAAATTGGGGTGAGACTGTGGCTAACAGTGATTTAAGTTGAAATCAAAGTGCCCAGGTTTGCTTTGCTGCTGCTGTAGGAGTAACTTTCTGAGTAACTCAGTCTTCTTTTGTTCTTTCTCTGCACCCACCAATAGACATACTTTCTTTCTTTCTTTCCTCCTCCCTCCCTCTTTCTTTCTTTCTTCTGTTCTTTTTCCCTTCCTCCCTCCTTTTTTTCCTTCCTTCCTTTCTTTCTTACTTCATTCACTCCTCCTACCTCCTTACTATCTAGCTACTGTGTTTCCCCGAAAATAAGACCTACCCATAGAATAAGCCCTAGCAGGATTTCTAAGCATGTGCGCAATAGAAGCCCCACCCCAAAAATAAGCCCTAGTGATGGGCGTGGCTACGCAGCGCATCTGCACAACTCATGCATTTCGTCGCAGAGCCGGAAAGAAGACGAGCAGCCCTTCTCATCTGCCCCATCCTGACAGCTACTATCCCAGAGGTGACTGAAAGGTGCGGGCAGCCCCACCAACAAGGTCGGCTCCCCCTATCAGGTCCTGGCCATCCTGTGCGTGCTGCGAGCTGAGGCTTTGAGGGGAAAACAACACATCCCCTGAAAAATAAGCCCTAGGGTGTCTTCTTGAGGAAAAATAAATAGAAGACCCTGTCTTATTTTCGGGGAAACATGGTACCTATCAATCATTTTTACAAAGCAGCGAGTCAGCTTTAGATTTGAATTACGATCAGACACAAAGAACCATCTAATTCTCTCTCAGGTATTGTAATCCGCTCTACGGTGTGGTTGGCATGCCCAGATTTCGTCGAAAGCATCTCTGATGTGAACGGGACAGACATTTGGCCTGCTGCTTTCTGCGTGGGGAGCGCGGTAAGCCCACCCCCCTTGGTCCACCCTCCGCCCTACCTGGGCTCCAGGTGCGCTGTGGGCCTCAAACCGCAGCAGCACCAACCCAGGGCAGTCGGTGGGAAATGCAGCTTCTCAGGCCCTGCCCCAGACCTGGTGATCAGGAACGCAGTCAGCCACCTGGGTTTTAACAAACCTTCCGGGGGATGCTGCCGCACACTCAGGTGTTGTTCCCCCACCTCCACCCCTCAGCACCCACGTGCACCTTGCCTGAAATAGGGCCACAGTCAAAACCAGATGGCAAAAAAAAAAGTTATCAATATATTGGATGTATTTTGCTTAATGAAATATATATTTAAATAGATTAGAATATGCAAACATATAAACAAATCATTAAATATATATTTTGCATGCACGCCCCCAGTGAGCCCTCATACCAGTTTAAACCGCAAATCTTAGACCCTCACCTGCTGAGCGTGCAGTGGGACCAGAAGGTGAAGTTCGTTAGTCAGGTCTGGCCGAGGAGACAAGACAAGCATACACACCCAGGCTCTTGTTGCTTACAGATGTGGATCCAGCTGCTGTACAGCGCCTGCTTCTGGTGGCTGTTTTGCTATGCGGTCGACGCCTACCTGGTGATCCGGAGATCCGCGGGGCTGAGGTATTCCCCGAGGAAAGAAGCAGGGGCTGCAGCCCGGTTCTATTATGAGGAGAGTTTGGAGCTATCACTGAGCAAAGCATTTTGCAGTAGGGCAGACACCGTCCATCAGACTCTGCCAGCTGGCCTCTCTGTCTAGAACCATCCGTTGAAGATCAATTTTTATAAGAGGCCAAAGGCAGTTTCAAACTACTATTTAAAAACCTTAAAAACAAGTAATTCACAATAAATTTGGGACTAGAGAAATTTGAGACTAAAATAGAATTGGCGTGAATGTAAACAAGTCTTCATTGTGTACGAAGGTTCAAGGAAAAATATTCTAAGTATGTATTGATAGTTCGTGCCAAGTCTGGGACCCAAGAGTGCTGGAGCGGGAGGGGGCTGCTCCCCTGCGTAAACGTGACAGTCCGTGTGGATAGTTGAGCGCAGTGCCTGGCCGTCGAGGCTCTCGATCTGTGTCAGCCGTTGCTGTAGCTGTATGTGCGCACGTGTTGAGGAAACAGCAACACAGAGAGCCTCACGGACAAAGAGAAGCTGGGCAGTGGCAGGACAGGCTCTAAGTCCAGGAAGCATTTGCCTCTCTGCCCCCCACCAAGGTCATGGTCCACTTGAATCAGGTCCCCTTTGGTTGGAGCCTTTGCTTTTTTTTTTTTTAACAGCTTTACAAAGTTCACCTGTTTAAAAGTGTAAAATCTGGTGGTTTTTAGTATACTCACATAATTGTCCAACTATAACCATCATCCAGCGTTATGACATTTTAGTTATGCCCCCCAAATCTCGGCTGGTTATTACTTACCCTTATTTTCTCCTCCCCCTAGCCCCCGGCAGCCATGAATCTACTTTCTGTCTCTAGGGATTTACTTACTCTGGACATTTCGTATCAGTGGAATCATACAATACATGACCCTATGTGCTTGGCTTTTTAAACTCGGCGTACATAACATTTTCAAGGTTTGCCCATGTTGCAGCATGTGGCAGTACTCATTCCTGTTGTGGTCTGAGTGTTTGTGTCCCCTCAAAACTCATATGTTGAAATCGTAACCCCAAAGGTGATGGTATTAAGAAGTGGGGCCTTTTGGAAAGTGATTAGGTCATAAGTCGGATTAGTGCCCTTGTGAAACAAGCCCCAGAGAGCTCCCTTGCGCCTTTCACCATGTGAGGACACAGTGAGAAGGTGATGTCTATGAACCAGGAAGTGAGTCCTCACCAGACACCAAATTTGCTAGCGCCTTGATCTTGCACTTGCCATCCTCCAGAACTGTGAGAAATAAATTTCTTTTATTTATAAGATACCCAGTCTATAGTATTTTTTTTAAAGAGAGAGAGTCTTATTCTGCCACCCAGGCTGAAGTGCAGTGGCTCAGTGATGGCTCACTGCAGCTGCAGCCTTCAACTGCTGGGCTCAAGTGATCTTCCTGCCTCAGCCTCCTGAGTAGCTGAGACTATAGGCGCCAGCCACCGTGCCAGCCTAATTTTTTATTTTTTTGTAGAGATAGGGTCTCACCTTGTTGCCCAGGCTGGTTTCAAATTCCTGGCCTCAAGTGATCCTCCTACCTTGAACTCCCAAAGTGCTTGGATTGCAGGCATGCGCCACCACGCCCAGCATGTATTTTGTTGTGGCAGCCTGAATGGACTAAGACAATTCCTTTTCATTGTTGAATAATAATCCATTGTATGGATATACTATATTTTGTTTATCCATTTATCAGTCATTGGACATTTAGGATGTTTCCATTGTTTTGGCTATTAGGAATAATGCCACAATGAACATTGTAATGTTTGTGTGGACATAGATCTCATCATATATTCCTGAGTATATACCTAGGTATGAAATTGCTGGGCCACATCATATCTCTAGCTGTAACCTTGTAAGAAACTGCTAAACTGCTTTCCAAAGTGGGGGCAACATTTTGTATTCTCACCAGCAATGTATGAGGGTTCCAACTGCTCCACATCCTCACCAACATTTGTTATTATCTGTTTGTTTTAATTGTAGCCAATTGTTTTAATTGTGTGAAGTGGTAACTCATTGTGCTTTTGATTTCACTGATGGCTAATGATGTTGAGCATCCTTTTGTATGCTTATTGGCCATTTGTATACTTCTTGGAGAAATCTCTGTTCAACTCCTTTGCCCATTGCTTAATTGGGATATTTGTCTTTTTATGATTGAGTTATAGGAGTTCTTTATATAGTCTAGATACAAGTATCTTATATAGTTCACAAATATTTTATCCCATTCTGTGGGCTGTTTTTACACTTATTTGGTGGTATCTTTTGAAGCATAAAAGTGTCGTGGCCCATTTGCAGGACGGAGGATGAACATAGAACACACAAAAGACACACAGACACACACAAAGACAGTTACAAGACTGCCACGCAGAACGCACCAGTCGTTTTATTTTTATACTCTAAAAATCAAAGTTAGTTCCTTGTACATGCCCACCCAGGCGTGGCAGCGATAGCCATAAATTCCAGAACATGTAGCCTAAGGACACAGATGTCTCCTGACTCAAGGTTTCCAGGCAGTTGCTCGAGGCGCCAGGCATAGATCACAGACTGAGATTAGCAAGGTTGGGCAAGGCCACAGGGGGCATTTTTCGTCCCCAGTTCTCTTAGGCTGATTCCCTGAGGCTGTGCCTGGCTTAGGTCACTCCTCCCTTGAGGGGTCTTACCCATCATTGACTAACCAGCCATCTTATGGGATTAAGCAGCAATCAAAAGAACAATGTGTTTATTGTGTGGCCTCCAGGCCTCCACTTATCCTGGGGCTGGGCAGCTCTTGCCTCAATGCAGAAACTTAGGTCTATTGTTATGCCTCTAGGCAGCAACCGTGTTTGTCACAAGGACCTTGTCCAGAACACATTACTTTCAAACACTCTGGGCAGAACACATACATTACTCACTAAATTTAATTCTTAAACTAGGAAAATATATGTCAGTCCCCTACATAAAAGTTTTTTATTTTGATGAAATCCAGTTTTTTCTGTTTCTTTCTTTGCTTTCTTATGCTTTTCCTTTCTTTTCTGTGAAATCATTGCCTAACCCAGGGTCACAAAGATTTATACCAGGGGTGGGCAACCTTTTCATGTTGGAAGGCCACATTAATTTAGCTATGATCAAATAAGGCCTCACTGAAGAAACATCAATTAGACATACTTAAAAATGTACATTTTGTAAAAATCTAACTAGTATGTACTTAATAATTTCAAACAATGAAAACTACTTGTTAATTTTAAAGTTAAGTAACCTTTTAATGACTTTGTTGTGTCTGCTTTTTGTTGGAAAGCATTTGAATATTTGGTTGCAGCATGGAGGTCTGCGGTTTCAACTGATCCTCTAGATGGGTGTCGGTCATTTGTGACCTTAGGGGCATCTTGATTTGGGTTAAGTAGGAGAATGTAGATTCACAGCAATAAGTAGTCGAAAAGCAAGAAAGCATTTTTCAGGCATGTTGTTGAACATGTGGGTGTTCTACTGCATTTTTCCATATGTCAATTGGATCTTTCTTAACATCAAACAATGACTTTAAAATCATCTACAGAGAGCTCAGTCAATTCCATCTGTAGTTTTTTAAGTGCCTTGATGATATCAGCTAGGTGAGGCTAAAATGCTAATTTGAGTGTGATGTCATGATTCTCAAAGTCAGTGAACCTTTCATTATATTCTCCAATTAATTGGTCTATAACAACTGCCTATTCTTTAAATGATTCCCATATATCATCTTGCTCATCAAGGACCTTTGCTAGGGTCCTTGATGGGGAAAATGTTCATCCAAACATTCCTTTTGAAGGAGTGTTTTGAAAAAAAAGTAGCTTGTTTTGAAATGCTTAGAATTTTTGCCACATATCATATATAGACTTAGTTTTACCTTGCAAAGAAATATTCAGGTTGTTTTGATTTGACATATCGTGCAGAAATGCTGCATTCCTATAGAAATCTTAATAATTCACACTGCTGATTCTCTTCTTCATAAAATTTAACTATCTATTTTCATAGAGATAAAATTTTGGCTAAAATGATAGTGATAGTCACATGATGCAGCAAATCCACACTGAATACTTCATCATTCAACTTTAGCATGTTACAAAACTGGCAATGCTGTGTTGCATTTGTGTGAATATATTTAACAATACTTGTAACTTGTTGCCAAGTGCCACTTAAAATAGTAGCTTTAGCAGAGAGATTTTGCTGGCGCAAGATACAATGAAAAGAAATGATAGCATCTGGATCTGTTAATAATTTTTTATCTGTGCAATAAACCCTTCATATTTTCTTGTCATGGAAGGTGCACCGTCTGTACATACACTCATTAAATTTACCAATTTCGCAACATTTATCTTGAAAGTTGTTGAAGATATCTATTCTCTGTGTTCTGTTTGCAAGAGTGCCCAAAGTGAGTAACTCTTTTTTTGAGACAGAGTCTCACTCTGTTGCCCTGGCTACAGTGCCATGGCATCAGCCTAGCTCACAGTAACCTCCAACTCCTGGGCTTAAGCGATCCTTCTGCCTGAGCCTCCCAAGTAGCTGGGACTGCAGGCATGCGCCATCATGCCTGGCTAATTTTTTCTATTTTTGGTAGAGATGGGGTTTCGCTCTTGCTCAGGCTGGTCTTGAACTCCTGAGCTCAAATGATCCTCGGCCTCCCAGAGTGCTAGGATTATAGGCGTGAGCCACCGCGCCCAACTGCAACTAACTCTTCATAGCAAAAAAAATCTTCTGTTATGACCCGAATGAAGTATAGAACCTGTGCTGAGTCAGTAGTATCAGTTGATTCATCCCAAGCAATTGAATAACACATATTTTTCTTTTGAAGTATTGCATGAAGTTATTCTGTTAAGTTGAAGGCTAATTCATGCTGCTAATGAGTTGTGGTTTTCCTTGAAAGAGGCAGTTGTTTGTATTTTGAAATGTTACCAGGGTCTAAGCATCCTACAACTTAGACAATGTATTCTTTCACAATTTCTACATCACTGAATGGCTTCCCTTTTTCCCCAAGTATCTA